ACAGCTCTATTGGCTTGAGAATGACAGGGTGCATGGAAAGCCCATAGTGTTCCATGAGTGTGCCCGCTGTCATGTTCTTTGGGGGCAGTAAAGCAGTTTCCTTGTCAGAGCAAAGTTTCACGGGGTATCCAAAAACATAATTTAAAAGTTCCCCTAAAAAGTGGCTATGGTGTTCCCAGCATCCACAGGGGACACGTATTTGTCCTTTCCAGGTAGCAACTTTTTGCCATACTCTTTGTAAACACACAGATCTTTTTACACTTGGTTGTCATTTGTCTGACGAGATAGCCAGGCTGTTCTTTTTGACAAGTAGTGAGAAGTAGGGGAGCAGTGGATTGGTCCAAAGTCACCTGGAGAACCATCTTGCAGGTAGTGGTCCAAATCACAATTCAATTGTATTAGGGTAAACGGCAAACTACTTGTCTGTTTCATAAAGAGCCTCTGAGCCCTTTCTAGGGCCAAATAAACCTTTGTAAAGATCTGAAAAAACACTAGCAGTTTGGATTGCTGGGTCAAATCGAATTCCTATTTCTAGGTCCTTGAAGAATCACCACACTGTCTTCCACAATGGTTGAACTAACTTACACTCGCACCAACAGTGTAAAAGTGTTCCTGTTTCTCTGCATCCTCTCCAGCATCTGTCTCCAGATTTTTTAATGATTGCCATTCTAACTGGCGTGAAATGGTATCTCAGCATGGTTTTGATTTGCATTTCTCTAATGACCAGTGATGATGAGGATTTTTTCATGTTTATTGGCCTCATATATCTTTTTTTGAGAAGTGTCTGTTCATATCCTTCATTCACTTTTTTTTTTTTGAGACGGAGTTTCGCTCTTGTTACCCAGGCTGGAGTGCAATGGCGCAATCTCGGCTCACCGCAACCTCTGCCTCCTGGGTTCAGGCAATTCTCCTGCCTCAGCCTCCTGAGTAGCTGCGATTACAGGCACACGCCACCATGCCCAGCTAATTTTTTGTAGTTTTAGTAGAGACGGAGTTTCACCATGTTGACCAGGATGGTCTTGATCTCTCGACCTCGTGATCCACCCGCCTCGGCCTCCCAAAGTGCTGGGATTACAGGCGTGAGCCACCGCACCCAGCCCTTCGTCCATTTTTGAATGGGTTTGCTTTCTTTTGGTAAATCTGTTTTAGTTCTTTGTGGATTCTGGATATTAGCCCTTTGTCAGATGGGTAGATTGCAAAAATTTTTTTCCCATTCTGTTGGTTGCTGGTTCACTCTAATGATTGTTTCTTTTGCGGTACAGAAGCTCTGGAGTTTAATTAGGTCCCATTTGTCTAATTTGGCTTTTGTTGTCAATGCTTTTGGTGTTTTAGTCATGAAGTCCTTGCCTATGCCTATGTCCTGAATGGTTTTGCCTAGTTTTCTTCTAGGGTTTTTGTGGTATTAGGTCTTATATTTAAGTCTTTAATCCATGTGGAGTTAATTTTAGTGTAAGGTGTCAGGAAGAGGTCCAGTTTCTGCTCTGCACATGGCTAGCCAGTTATCCCAACACCATTTATTAAACAGGAATCCTTTCCCCATTGCTTGTTTTTGTCAGGTTTGTCAAAGATCAGTTGTTTGTTGATGTGTGGTGTTGCCTCTGAAGCCTCTGTTCTGTTCCATTGGTCTATATCTCTGTTTTGCTAACAGTACCATGCTGTTTTGATTACTGTAGCCTTGTAGTGTAGTTTGAAGTCAGGTAGCATGATGCCTCCAGCTTTATTCTTTTTGCTTAGGATTGTCTTGGCTATGTGGGCTCTCTTTTGGTTCCATATGAAGTTTAAGGTGGTTTCAGCTAGGGGAGGGACAGCAGGGAGGTGGGGAGGGATAACATGGGGACGAATGCCAGATAGGTGACAGGGGGATGAGGGCAGCAAACCATATTGCCATGTATGTACCTATGCAACAATCCTGCATTATACCCCAGAACCTAAATTAAAAAAAACAAACAAAACCAAAAAAAGCTAGCAGTTCTTAACAGCTCAAGGCTACATCCATAGGTTGACTTTATCCTCCTCCTGAAAGTGCTTACCTGAGAAAACTCAAGGTTGCTAAGAATTTACTGTTTCTTCTAACCAACACTTGAAGGTAGAGTCCCAGTCTCTGGGAGGGTAAGAGCCTAGCTTGGCATTAGGGGCAGTTAACAAATCCAAATGGGTTTCACATCAGCCAACTCCCTTTCCTGTTTGTATCCCTTACTCTACTAAGCCCCCACTTATCTTCCTCTCTATTCCCTCATTCTCCCTTTAAGACACCCAGTCACCTCAATACAAATCAAAGTTGAGTTCAGTTCATACTGGACTCTTCTTATTGCGAGAGTATGTTACTGATGTAAATCTATCCTTACTATTTTTACTAGTATCTGGCTTTGTCTTTGACATGTTCTGTATCTTCATAGTTCAGCAGCCAATTACTTTGGCTAACTCCATCTACTTAGATTGACGTCATCTACTCAATCTGGGGACCTCTTTCTCCAGGTCCTCTTGTTATCCCTTCTGAGATTTCTCCTTCACTCTCTGGAAGATGTGGTTATCCCAGATCCCATCCTTTAGTTTTCCAGACCAGAAACCCTCAGGCTTTCCACTGCAGCCTTAGCTTTCCTACAGCTGCATGGTGACTACAGCTGGTACTTAGGTCAAAAACACGAACCTTAGCTTGTGCCTGTCTCTTCCTCCAAATTTTATTTCGTATCCAAAATCTTTCTAGTTTTTCTTCAGTTTCCTGAGTTCTCAGGTAGTTGTTTCTACAATATATATTTACCATCTGTGGGAATGTTGGACTTTAGATTATGCCACCGTATTGGAAGAGAAAATTTCATGTCTTTGCTTTGCATTTGCTGTGACCTTACTTGAAATGCCAAGACTGTCACCACCATAATGAACCGTCTATTCATGTGGTTGAGGTTCTTCTTTAAGATAACATTAATGTTGTACATACTGCTCATACAAGTATTTTTCTTAAATTTATTTTGTACAACAAATACAAATGTTAAAGCAGTCAGTGAGGTGGTATATCTTAGGTTCTGGAGACAGGCAAGATCTTTACATGGGCCCTGGCACTCACTCACTGTATTATCACCCTGAGCAAGTTTCCTAACTTTTCTACTCAACTCAATTCCTCACACAGTGCTGACAACAATATTATCTGCCTTACTAGATTACTTTGAGGATCAAATATGAAAATACATACAAATGATAACAGCAGCTAATGTACAGAAAAAGCTTGGTAAATGCTAGTTAACTCATATTACTGCAGATGTGTGAAACAAATGTCTCCAACCCCCTTAATGTCTTCCCTCTAATTAAAAAAAAAAAACATTTAATACACGTTTGAGGATTTTCAAAGATCAAGGTTATACAAGACAAAAATTAGAATGCATACACACAGAAAACTTGTAGCAAAGGAAATTAGTACATCAGTCAAAATAGTCAGTTTCCTAAATTATTTTTAAAACATTGACTAAAACAGCAATGGAGTACCACTTAATAACTATTAAATCAAAAATATTAAAATTAACAGCAAGTAATGACTAATTTGTATACTGTGGTATACTTTAATGTTGACAATGTGAATTGATACAATTGTTGGGCACAGTTTGCAATACATTTGAAAGGAAACAAAAAAACTTTATTATACGTGACATTGGACTTTCTGTAACTCAACATTTACAGCATTATTTGCCCTCCCCTCCACAGTGGACAGAACTAATTCCAGATTCAGTTCTTTCCAATGTGTCCCATAGTATCAGTTACTGCATGTTTTCTGATATACGTATGGAGAATGAAGGATGAGAAATGTCAAGCCCAGGGCCAGGAAGTACAACATATACCAGAGAAAGTATGATAATAATACTAAGGAAATAAGACTCAAAAATCAGGAAGAGATGTGAGGCCAAAATCACATACAGAAGATCAGATTACATCATCACATTAGAGCTTTTATGACTCAGTTTGGAGTCAATGTTCTAGTGATGTACCTAGAGATACTAAGAACTATATAGATAGTATTCTCATGATGTTTGCTGGTGTCATCTTTTAAGTACTAAAGGAATTTCATCCCTTTGAACTGGAAAGCAGAAGACACAAATAATCATCCAACTTTTGAATTATTCTGCTGTAAGAGATGGATTGATTTATTTATATTTATATATTTGTCAGGCTCAGGAAACAAATTTGGTTTAGTCTACTGGCTCCTACATTCTCATTTACCAATAGGTTGTTAATGATTGGATTATGAAAAGGCTGACAAAAATCTTAGAAAATATTAATAGACTTCAGATAAACATACAGGAGACAGCACCACACCACCCACCTCCTCCTCAGCTTCGATTTAAAAATACTTACAATGCTTAAAAAAAAAAAAAA